ATCATATTGTCACATCCATGAAGTAAATCAAAATGCATGTATCATGCCCCCGGGACTTAAGGCCATCAAAGTAAATTCCATGGGGGCTTTCTAATAGCACGATGGTTGCAAGCATTCATCGACTATATTTTACACTAAGGGCGATATCAAAATATCGGCCATATGAATTCATCCACATAAATATGCATAGCCAAAACAAAATATTTTAGCTCTCGATTATTGGTAAGTAAAATAATTTGGCAACCCTCCATAACATAAAGATCCACACCAAGGATCAAAATAAGGACCTGAGGGATAACCATGCATACTAGGGGATGAATTCCACATAGGCATAGGTAGAGAGTATGGATGATGCCATGACCAATGATTTTAATGATTTGGTGCAAACCTCCAACTTGGCAATTGTTTCTTGAATCTCCTCTCCTTTGTTTTTGTTGCACCACTTGCATGAACATCATCCTTTTAGGCTTGAATACTTCCTTTAGGAACCCATACCAAGCCTTTTCCTTTCAGCTTCTCTACGCTAAGCTTCTGTAACTTCTTCTCTTGCCACTTTGGTAAACCGATTGAGCATATCGGTTTTATTTCTGTTTTGGACAGCAGCAAATCTTTCTTGATTTTGGGCACTCTCACCTTCTTTTGTTTAGATTTGGTATCTAGAATATTAATAGATGACTTCCTCACTTCTTTGCTATCAATAGCTAGATTTTTCAGCAATGTAATCGGCTTTTCGATAGTTAAATTCAGATCTAAACTTTTCTTCTTTCGGCCATCATACTTCACGCGGTAAACTTGTTTTACCACCTTCTTCTTTGGTTGAGCTCCAGACTGATTTTGATCAAAATGGCCTTTACAAGATGATGATCTCTTTGAATGTCTAGGAGCTGCATACTCTACATATTCTGGCCTCGAATATGGTGGAACATGTGCCTCTTCATCAAACCAGCCCCAAGATGAATAAGGATAAAAATATGTGGGTTGTGGTCCATATGACATGGGAATTGGCTGCATAAAAGGAAAATATGTTACTGCTGCGTGAGGTTTATCTCCTTGCCGATTCCACTCTTGAGACTTGCGCTTTGGAGGCAATTTTGATGAATGCACTTTCTTTGGACGATTGGTGACATTTGCTTCTTCTATCTTCTCATACTTAGCTAGAAGTTCCTCGAAGCTGAATTTTGGCCTTTTACTTCTTTGTTTGTCATGGCCTTTACCTCCATTAGCTTTACGAGCATCCTCCTTCTCCCCATCTTGACAGACATGCTCCAAAGGAGGATCCTTAGCCGATTCCCCTTGCTCAACGAGATCAATCGGCTTTTGCTTTGGTTGGAGAGATTTCAGTTGCCCCCTAGTGCCTTTTGGAACTGTGATAACTTTGCTGTCCTCTAGAATATCTTCTATTTGCAATTCATCAACAACAACCTTGCCTTCACTTGAGGGATCCACATCTCTCTTGGGCATTCAAGCTTTGAGCTTTGAGTGAATCGGCTAATGCAAGCCGATTCGAAACCTATTTGCCATCAAGACCAATTGAATCCAATTGGTCTATGTGTTGAGCTACAGAAAATCTCAATCGTCCTTTATCAATGGTCGATTAGATCACTCGACGAAACATGTTGCAACTAGAGGCATTATGATTAGAAGAATTATGCCATTTGCAATATGTAAGCTCTTCTAAATTTTTAACAGATGGCAAAACATTGTGATCAATGATTCTAATAAAATTATTCTTGACCAAGACATCAAAGACATGATCACAAAAAGTAAAGGCAAAGGTGTACTTTGATTTCTTTAGCCGATTCTTTTGTGGAGTCGGCTTTAAAGCTAGGCAAACGAATGGATCAGATTTATTATAAATCATTTGGCCACACCTTTGCAATTGCTTATAGGAAGCTTTAGCTTTAACAAACTACCACTATCGGCTTTGCCATATGGAACAATGTCTTGACCGATAGAATCTGAATTTATTTTATCATCAACAAATAAATTGCTATTCTCAATCGGTCTATTACAATAATTAGCAAGGATATCTCTAATAGATACAGAAATTGAAATAGTATGACTAGATTGGAATTTGAGAAAAATATTTGTGTTTTCTACCTTGTTGATCATGTTGAAAAAGTGCACGTCCTTGATTTGCATGATGTTGCTCTTCATCTCCAGAGAATGATCAACAATAGGTGCCGAATTATCTGAAGATGCATTGGCAGCTACCGAGACCGAGAAAGTCGGTTTAGCCGACTGGAAGTCAGCTAGGCCGACTTGGGCACTAGCAGGGGCAGTTGGCTTGGCCGACTGGAAAGTCGGCCTAGCCAACTCAGGGAAGGTGGTAGAGGCAGTCGGCCTAGCTGACTCAGGGCAGGCAGCAATCGGCTCAGCTGACTTTGAAGTCGGCTCAGCCGATTCTGAGCAGGCAGACAACCCTCCTTTGTTGCTTGTAGGGGCTTGATCTCCATCAATGATGCGGTAATTACTAGATAAGTGTACAACCCCTTTAGCTCCTGAAAAATCAAGTCTAGCTGGTTTCTAGTGTTTTCTATGCTTTTCTGTAGCAAGACTTGTTTTTTGAGATGTGATTGATTCAGAAAGGATATTGTATTGTTCGGCTTTTGTAGCCGAACCTTTACTTACATCCGAATCAATTATTTCTTTCATGCCCACTAGCAATCCTCTTTTAATCGATGACTCAACTGTGATCGGCCTTTTCTCATTAGTCTTTATAAAATATTCATAGAATTGCTCCTCTAATTGAGACCATAAACCAATAGTACATCGCGGCAAAGATGTAAACCATGCAAAGGCAATACCGGTGAGAGATAAAGGAAAATTTCGCACTCTCATATAGTCTTCTTTACCGGCAAAACCCAGCTGTGAGAGATATATACTAATATGTTCCATAATGGTTTTATCATCTTCACCACTAAATTCATAAAAATCAGGTACCCACCAACCATTAGGAGTTTTCAAGTAATCATAGCATAATGGGTACGGTCTATGATAAGTGGGCACCTTCCATTTAGAGGAATCATATGGATTCCTAGCATGGGTTAAATCTTCATCGATTCGGCTTGATTTGAGAGCAACAAATGAAGTCGAATCATGATTGTTTGCAAGTGCACACATTGCTGAATTTTCATTGATTCGGCTATAATTATTAGCAATATGTGGAGCCGAATCACGAGTTTTAGCACTCGAATGCCTTGCTGAAATTTTACTAATTCGGCTATGGTCATGAGAGAAATACAAAGTTGAATTGTGAGCATTGATCTTTGTATAAGGTGCTGAATTTTTGTTAATTCGGCTATGGTTACTAGTAACACGTGAAGCCAAATCATAAGTATTAGCACTTAAACACCTTGCTGAATTTTCATTAATTCGGCTCGAGTTGGGAGTAACATATGGAGCCGAATTATGAATAGGAGCATTGGCATATGGTGCTAAATTTTTAGAGCAATTGGCTAAATAATTAGCATTGTTATAGCCAATTCTCTCATTCATCGGCATGTCTTGTGGTGGAACCACATATTGTGAACTTATAGCCGATGAATAACAATTTACGTGTTGTATGTTGCTAGTAGCATCCAAACTCGAAGAATTTATAACATGCACTGGCTCTTGACCATAATATTCATAATTATGATGTGTATGATGAGGTGAATTAATAAAAGTATTAGCTGATACAACATATCTAGTATCATCATGACTAGCAACATCAATATGAGAGTTCATAATACTTGCAAAATAACTATTGGGATCATAAGATGCATTTGCAAGTTGTACCTCAGGGTGATTGTAGTAATATTGTGATGCAACACCTTGGTACTTCATGATTTATAACTTGACCGCCTTGCTGAATTTTTCGATAAGCAGCGCAACTTGTTGCAAAATCGCAAACAAGATCACAAGGGGTCAAAACCAGATGCGATCGGCCTTTTGGGCCAGATGCAACGGTAATGGCGAGCTCAAGAAGATAGATCAACGAGGAGTAAGGCTAGGTCAGAGAGATCGGCTATAAGAGATAGCCGAACCAATAGTCCCCAGCGGAGTTGCCAAAAAGTGTGTTGACGTCGGAAGTTATCCGAATCAAACAACAACAGGGCCTTGGACGCCCGGGCTGCTACAGACCGAAGAATGCAGCGAGGATGTCACTCTTTCGTGGTGAAGAACGGAGAGGTTTACAAGCAAACTACCAAAGGATAACCAACGTGCTTACGTGACGAAGAACCGGCTAGTTTTCAGGCAAACTAGCAAAGAAACTGTCGAAGCTCTCGCCCGGGAGGGACCTCGTCAGGGCAAGAATGTCGTCGGGTTGCCCTAGGTCGGCCGGCAAGCCTAGGGCGCCATCCTTGGTCGTCGGATCAAGGGATGAATAGCATGGGGGTTAAAGAAGAGGGCAAAAGAGTTGGAGTAGAGGTAGTAGATTGATTTGTTTGACGATTGAATAGATGGTAACTCAATCGGCGATGATCCTCTTATATATAGAGAGAGGGTGGTCTTATCCCAGTAGGAAACCTCTCTAAGCCTTATTTTCCAAGTTTCCTATGAGTTTGGAACAGTTCGGATCAGAATCCAAACGGCCAGATCCGAACAGGATTTTCTGTTAGGTATGTTGGAAGTCCCAACTTGGGTCGGAACTCCCGACAGTCGGAACTTCCTACTTCTGTCGGAACTCCTGACGTAGGGATAACCCTAGACACCCAAGCATATTTCTTCAGGCTTCCCGGAAGTCCCAACATCCGTCGGAACTTCCGACAGTTGGAAGTCCCAACTTGGGTCGGAACTTCCGACAACGAGGCATCTTTCCGAGGGCATAACTTCTTCATCCGGACCTCGAATTATACGCTCCATATATGTTTTTTGACCGTCTCGACGAGAGGAATGCAATGGTGAAGTATGTTTCACATTTTGATAACTTTACAAAATGGACATTTTTTGTTGTCAACAGCATGATATTAAACTTCTACAACTTACTAATCTTCTGAGGAGAAATGGTCCATGGATTAGGCACTGTACTTGTAGGAATTTCCATTTTGGGACCATATTCTCAGGGGTGACCCCTTGAGGAACTCACTATACCATTTCGCAGACAGTTTTGGGGTTCGTTTTTGTGTCTTGTAGTCGACATGGTAGAGCCTGAATCTTTGTGTGTACCCAGAGTTCCACTCGAAGTTGTCGAGAAGAGACCACACGAAGTAGCCACGCACATCGGCCCCTTTCCTTTAGAGAGTGAAATGATTGACATACAAGAAGCAGAATATGTGATTTAGTCAGTGATTAGAGAGAAAGGAGGAAGAACATGTAGATGCAGCAATGCATCCAAGGTATTGTTCAAAGCCACAAAGCATTGCTTCTGAGCTGGTTTAAGATTGATCGAGAGTTTTGACATTTACCTTATCGCTGAAGCCAAAAAGGTGAGGTAGCCTTGAAGATAATCGACTCTTCCTGTATCATTAGTAAAATCCTTGGCAGACATGTTGCTATTGCTTGCTTGGGCATAACCTGCAAAATTCTTATAGCATATGAATTTGGACCATGAATCACTAGATTAGTTTAGTAGGGCCATGTTTCTTGGTATTTTTTATGTTTATATATAAATCCTAATTTTGAAAGTACCCCCTTTGGTAAAAATGTTTGTCACATTCGACTTTGCATTATCTTTGATGGGTATCTTTGATCCACTATATTTTGCAAACATTGATCTGTATTATTTAGAATGTATATTTAAACTTTTTTCAAACACATTTTTTAATACAAATCTAGCATGTTTAACATGTTTTCAATCTAAATAATTTAAATTCATGTGAGTAAATATCTAAGGTAAAATACTTGTAACAATCCTATCAATGTCCTAACACATAGTGTTGTGTGTGATTATTGGATAGTGTCATGCTCGAATTACAACGATAAAAACATCTAAAATACAATTTCACTTAGAACTATGTTTATTCCATCTAAAAAATAAAGAGATGGGTAGAAGCCATACCATTTTCAGTGATATACATTGGTGTGTTATTGTATCTCCTTTTGTAATACATGACCATTTTTTCCATCCCATATGGAACGGTATTCAAGTATGGCAACCCTGTCTGCACGAATGAGATTGCAACCATCAACAATCATTTCTATTCTTCCTTGGCTAACAATCGATAATTCATTTTTTTTTCTAAAAAAATGACCAAGAGTTCTACTGCTCTTCCTAGTTTAGCATTCATTAAAACAGGACGTGGGCATCACCACCTAAGCTAGTCCTACTCAAACCAGATGAGCACCCAGGCCCAGGCTAAATCGAAACACCTCTCCTTGACCAAGAGGTTGGCCTATTCCAGATGTCAAATAAACTAATATTGTAACAATGCATGTTTACCCTTTCACCAATAAGTATTCCATCTCTTTCTGTTGAAGTACTAATTCGGGCATCCCCATCAAATGGATCCAATTCACATGGTGACGAGGAGATGCAGTCCTTCAAATAGGACGTTGAATAATGATTTAAACCAATGAAATCCAACTTGGATGCTTGTAGTATCTTCTTTTGTTTTGATGTGAATTCAGGTAGGTTTGGACCCAAGATCTTATGCATCGCAGAGGGGTAATCACCAAGAATTATGGGGTCCAGAAACCTGGCATAATCAAGCAAATTAGCCATGCTATAAAATACAAATATGAATTAACTAATAATACTATATGTCCAGGGCTTGTTATCAGAAAATAAAGTGTTATTTGTATTCTTGGTTATCAATATAACAGGAAGATTAGTACCATGGAGCGCCAAAAGATAGACCCCGATCAACTGCTAAGATGTCTGTTGGGATATTCCGGAATGGTTCATACCATCTTGAGAGAACTGTAATTCCAATATGACCACCTTGTTTCCCCTACCAAACATCAACCATATTACATAAACAATTTTCTTTAATTGATGTTTTCATTTTAGTAACTCATTTAATTGGTGTTTTCATTTCAGCAACTCTCAAGCTAATGTGATTATTGTTGCATATTTGGTACCTGATATTTTTTTCTTGTAAATGCTGACCACATTTGCATGAGACAATACCATGTTGTGACCCGCAATGTATGGCTCAGTTGAAGAATTTCCAGAAGTACAGTTCCCAAATGGCCTAGAGCAGTGACCACGAGGGTACCGTCCATAGATATAGCTGAGCTTTGCGAATATATTTGGCTCATTAAATGATATCCAAAATTTTACTAGGTCACCAAACATCCTGAAGCATACATCTGCTAGGTAACCAAAGTCTCTCCTAGAAAGTATTTAGAAGTCAAATCAACCACCAATCAAGAATTAGAAGCCATTTTTATTGCAAATAAAGAAATGGACATACCGAATTTCGGGGCTCAACCAGCCACCATATCGCTTCTCTAGTTCATATGGAATGTCATAATGAGATATCGTCACAAATGGTTCTATGCCTGTTTAAAATGTAGTTCAGAACTCCATATCTTCAAAGTAGTGTTTACTGCATATATCTGTTGAACTAATACCTCTTTGTAGAAGAGCATCAATAAGAGCATTGTAGAATGCTACACCATCTGGATTAACATGCCCGAAGCGGCCTTCTGTAGCAAGAGTCCGAATTACGTCAACAACCTTTTTTCTAAACAATTATGCATAACCACAATTTATGCCATAAGAGAGGAAGGGACTCGTAAAGAAGTAAAATATTGTCAAACTCACTCGGTAGAATCCTTGCCCATGCAATGGAAAATCGATATGAGTTGACACCCAAGGAATGAATCAAGTCAATGTCTTCCTGGAGCATAGAAAAATGTCTCTGGTCTCATGTGGTTGAACAGATACCAAGATCCATTGGAATATCAACTACCATTATTGATTGCAATTTTATATTTATTACTAAATAATCAACAAAATTGAAATCCATGGAAAACTTGTAGCATACATACCATGTAACGATGATAGTGATCATCAGCGGTATCACCATTGGTCCCATCCTCAACTGTACCTAAAGGGATTGAATAAAGAAAAGGAGGTGACACAGAGAAGAATAAAAATGAATTGACATCTAGGAGTTATGCCTAAATTAATTCCTATAGATTATCATGCTTCACCTTGCTTATGGGTGAAAATATCCCAATTGCTTAAGCCTTTATTACCCTCCAAATATCCACCTTCAATCTGGACAGTCAGATAACAGTACTAATAAAAGTTAAGGAATATCTAGCTAGGGATCCCAATATGAAGAAAGCAAGAATAGACAAGGATGAAATTGGTGATATTTTCATTAGTTAAATAGAGGCATCCATCCCATTAGACGGTTTTGATTAGGATAGGTTTCCTGTTGTCCTTTCAGGGTCTTGTCCTATATGGCTATATAGAACACATTTTTTGGCGATTATATACAACACATATCCTGCTTGGGACAAATTTTTATTCCATTTGGGTCTATCATGGTATCGTGAGTTCAGCCCAATGACCTTCCTTCCACTAGCCTAGTGCCTCCAACTAATTGGGGCTAAACAACTATTTACTATGAGCTCATTTAAATAGTTTCTACCACATATATCATTTTTTAGCCTTTTGGTGTTTCAGGTGCAATAATGATATATGTGGTAGAAACTAGTGAGACTCACATGTATTTAGCGTTATCTTAAAATAAATGTTGAATGTGTCCACAGTCATCTGGATTAATGATCCACAGTTACTTCAGATTAATGTAGTAATGTTCTTTTTTCCCCTCAGCCCAAACAATCACTAAATCTAATACTGAGGCAAAATTAACAAGATCGCTAAAAATAAAATTCAAAGTCTAAGATACATCAAATGTGGGCCCCACCCAATGGAGAGCTTCTATGACCTACTCCCTCAGTCAAAAAAGAATGCAATTCTAGATTCGAAATGTAAGTTTCACTAAGTTTTAGAAAGTAGTATCAACATTATGTCTTCAAATATATTAACTATGAAAATATACTTCATGACTAATCTAATGATATTTATTTGGTATAATTAATGTTAGTATTTTTTATATAGATGTGGTCAAAATCAAAATTGTTTGACTTCTCGCAAACTGGAAATTACCCTTTTTATATAGATTAATTGTTAGTATTTTTTACGAAGAATTCCTCAATATGGTCGTCCGACTTTCCTCCCTGGTTTATAAAACTACAAACCTTCTCACATGCAACTATTAAAACCATTTTTTTTAACCTCCACTAGTTTGGAAGGTAGTTTTTGTCACCGTGGTGTTGACTCAGCAAACCCACATAGACACGTGTCTCGGTTAGCCCAAGCCTACCAATCAAAGGGTGGATTTGGTAGGAATCCTGATTCTCGTAAAAACGTTTCAGATCTAGATTCTCTTAAAAACGTTTCATGAGGTGAATCAGAAACACCTTGTGAAACTGTTTGGCTAGTATGCTAGATTCTGATAGCACACACGTAGGGCTGGACGAAAAACTCGAAGCTCGCCAGCTCGCTCGACTCGTGACCAGCTCGGCTCAGCTCATTACGATTTTCTAACAAGTCAAGCTCAACTTTTAGCTCGTTAGCTATAATAACGAGCCAGCTCGAGCTGGCTCGCGAGCTGATGGCGGTTTATTGGATATTTGTTTATTTGTAGACTTAGATTTGGTAACTACAAGGAACCTGATCTGTTGGACGATAAAACTTTATATTAACCACACATCATCACTTCATCAGCACATACAGATCATGTATATATATGTTTCCTTTTGTATGGAAGATTGATTGATAAATCAGTGAACAAAACTGTATGTTGTTTAATGCTAATATCTCTTTCTTCCCCTCTGGCTCGTGAGTCAAACGAGCCAGCTCGAGGTAGTTACCGAGCCAAGCCGAGTTGGACTTTTGGCCCATTAGAATAACGAGCTGAGCCGAGCTAGTCGATATCTAGCCTTACACACACGGGAGGCTAGAGAAATGAAAAAGAGTCGATACAAAACCGTCCTCCGGCCGATTCAGAAAATCAAGCAGAATACGTGAAAGGTTTCTCGGCTGAAGCGTTTCGCTCGTAGCCCGTTTGGCGCCGTTCCAAGGGATTCTCGGAACTGATTCCATCAGCCAAACGGCCCCAAAATAACATCCACCCTGGTCAAAATGCCTAGCCTGGCTCCATTCGTTCCACACCCAAAATGCTCTTGGCAGCGCACGGCAGCGGCGACGGAGGCGCACGACGCCGCTGGCGGTGCACGGCTGCTGCGGCAGCGGTGTTGCACTGCGGCTTCAGCGCACGGGAGCTAGCTCGCGGAGGAAGCTGAGGGCAGAGGATCCGGGCTGCTGTAGACCACGTTGCTTCGGCGCACATGATACAGCTACGAGGTTAGTAATTTCATTGAGCATCTTCAAAAGTACCTTATTTTTTCTTCCAAAAAACAAAACATGATGTTTTCTAACTTTTAAAAAAAATATTGAGAGGAATAAAAAATATCATCTCCAAGAATTTTCAATAAACACTTCAAAAAATAAAAATTTGGTGCCACAAGTTTTTTTTTGGCAGTTTTTTTTTTTTCACGCGACACCGCCTGACCGGTCACGCGAAACCCTTCGCCGCCGTCTTCTTCCATGGTAGTGCCGATCCCTTGCAGGTCCCAGGCGGCGGCAGCCAGCATCCCGGCAACCCACGTGATGATCAATCAAAACATGAAAATACCTAGTACAACACTGTAATAGCGTCATCTACCTACAAATCTACAATCATCAAGATTCAGGCACCTCGCTTCAGGTGAAAGCAACACAAGAAACAGAGGCACCAGTACGGCCGCCACCACGGCGGCCCACGATTTAACTTTTTTTTTATAGAAAATTTAGGTTTGGCCTCCTAGCGACTTAAACTCATCTTTGATCCTGGGGTCGACGCCAGGACTCATGGCGCCGAGGTAAAATGTCTCGGTGTCACAGATCTTGGCTCTGAGGTGCCTGGCCATGCACAACAGGGCATCCTAGGTGGCGTTCACGTGGCCAGTACCTCGACGCCAGAATACATGGCGTCGAGCTCGGCGCCATAGATCTTGGCGCCGACCTCGGAGTACTAACGCCCTGTTCGTTTGGGCTTGTTTGGCTGATAAGCCATGGCTGAAAATACTGTTGGCTGATTTAGTGTAAGAGAAAAAAAAAACTATTCGTTGGCTGAAAAAATATAGCTTATAAGCCAAACAAGCCCAAACGAACATGACGTAGATTTGTTTTCATGCTTCCTCTGCAGTTGCCCCGTGATCTACCGATCTACATTTATAAAGCATTCATTGTGCCTTAAATACCATGACCAAATCAACCAAACCAACGGTCTGTTCGTTTCGGCTGGATTGACTTATAAGTTATGGCTGAAAGTACTGCTGGCTAGTTTGGTGTAAAAAAAATATTGTTCAAACTATGACTTATAAATCAGATATGAGCAAATAAGCCGAAACCATCGGGACGCAAATAGTTCCTGCAAATATCAGCGAGGCACTGGCATACTGGCCTGTTTCTGCTTTGCATATGCTGCATCACATGCGTTGTCAGAACATAGCAGGTTTGGAATTGAGCCGCTGTAGTTCACGGACCGGTGGGCCTGGTCGGGTGAGCGGTGGGCCATCTTTTACCGTTTGACAGTATGTTTGGGAGGGCATATCGTATCGTGGATTATTTACTGCTGGCTGGTTTGGTGTGAAAGAAAACACTGTTTCTGGCTAGAAATTTACGATCGTTTACGAGCAAGCGAACAGGCCGTGAATCTCTTTAGCCTGTTACATTAGATTAGTATAGCCTACTTTTTACAAGTGCACATCTTTGGGAAAGATAAGGGAACAGTTCCTTATGCATTGGCTGATTATATGTTGTAAATGTTTTTATTATGTTTTATAAAGGTTTTCAGAGAAATAAATGTGTTGTATTTAGCTGAGTGATCAGTCTTGAGAAATAAAATGGTGTCGTAACTGAGAGAACATAGTTTCAACATGCAAAGCACAACCGTTTGAACCCTGAGCTTAACATTGTATTCAAGTAAACTGCTGCTTTGAGAAATCAATTTCATTTTGAAGGAATACCAGTTTCAAGTTTCAACAACGAAAATATAACCCTTTCAAATCAAAATTGGGAACTAATATTTATACCCTCTCTGAAACAGCCGCTTGGTGACCTGGGAACACTAGAAGCCGGAGAGAACGGGGAAGCCCATTTCTCATGACCGAAGGAGAAACTGAGAGTCGTTGACTTGATCGGCAGCTCTATTGCTCTGTATGCAACCGAGGACAGATCATACCCTGGCATTGCTGCAGCCGTGATTGCAAGAAGTGCCGGTGTAGGAGAGAACTACAAGAAGCTCTCTGCACTTGTGATGGTGTCATCATTTGGGAATCAAGCTAAACCTGATACCAGCGAATTTTCCATACTATTTGCTTCAGTATGTTGTACACACATTAATGTAGAAACAATCAAACTGGCAACTCAACATTTGGACTAATAAGCATGAATACATTGAGGAATAAAGGCTGTTCTCATGTGGAGCTTTGAGGAATAAACGGTAAAAGATGGCCCACCGCCCACCCGACCAGGCCCACCGGTGGGTGTACAGCTGCTCAATTCCAAATTTGCTATGTTCTGACAACACATGTGATGCAGCATATGCAAAGCAGAAACAGGCCAGTATGCCAGTGCCTTGCTGATATTTGCAGGAACTATTTGGTTGGTTTGGTGGATTTGGTCAGGGTATCTAAGGCACAATAAATGTAGATCGGTAGATCACGGGGCAACTGCAGAGGAAACATGAAAACAAATCTAGTACTCCGAGGTCGACGCCAATATATGTGGCGCTGAGGTCGGCGTCAAGATTTGTGGCGCCGATCTCGGCACCATATATTCTGGCGTCGAGGTATCGGCCATGTGAACGCCACCTAAGATGCCCTGCTGTGCACGGTTAGGTACCTCGAAGCCAAGATCTGTAGCGCCGAGACGTTTTACCTCGGCGTCATGAGTCCTGGCGCCGACCCCAGGGTCAAAAGATGAGCTTAAGTTTCTTAGGGAGCTAAACGTAAATTTTCTTTAAAAAAAGAGCCAAATTATAAAAAATTGGGCCGTGGCGGCCAGTGCTGGCGCCCCTGACCCGACGAGCTGCACGCTGAAGTTGCACACGCCCTGCGACGCGTCCACGTGGACGATGACAGCGATCCCTTGGAAGTCGCACGCCGACTCCACCTGCCCATGCACCTGGTAGTAGGCGTTGAACGCGTACGATGCGTTCCCGCACGCATCTAGTGCGCCGCAGCTGCAGCCGTAGCCCAGCGCCATGCAGTCGGCGCAGGAGCACACGTACCTGACGTTGTCCGTGATCCGGCCGCCGGCCCTGACATCCCCAGGGCTGATGGGGTTCAGCATGCACCACCGCCAGGGCTGGTACTCAACACCCCTTGCCGGGACGGGCATCGCCGGCCGCCTGTCGCCGCGCAGGTCGAGCGAGAACTTTGGCGCAAATGGACACCGGTAGCGGGAAACAGCAGCGGGCCAAGGAGCAGAACGAGCGGAAAAGTGCCTATACGCGCGTAAGGAAGTGCGCGCAACTTTACGCATAGGGGCGAGGTTTTTCCCAATTGCTAAAAGATTAGGAGGTGAGTTTGAAAGTTGTTGGAAATAGATTTTCTGTATTTTTCTAAAAAATCTTGAATTGGGAAGGATTATATGGTACTTTTGAAGATGCTCTACCTTATTAACGTTGTTGTAGATCGATTCATATGGGTTGGGTGCGCTATGTGTCTAGTTTAATCATAGGAGAGTGACATTAGTACTACATGTTAATGCAGCGAAAATTGTTTGTTTATTGTTTAACACGTCATAACATGTTATTAATAGCTTTGGGTTTGATCATCTTTTAAACCTCAAGATTTGCTGAAACGACGACTTTTGCGTATTGTTTATTCCTTTTCGATGTTTAACTCAGCATATTTTGAGTATGTTTTGTGGACTGATTAAATTTTTAGTTTTAGTTGACATACCTTATCTTCAGTAATGTTTACAATTAATCCACCAGCAACTCAAGATAAGATATGTTGTGTTATGCAAAATGTAAGAGCCCGGCAGGAGGGGGCCCTAGGGAGGCAGCGGCTAGGGTTGTTGGGGATGAAGGCGTCGAGCAGGAGGGAGGAGGTGGCGGCAGGGAGAGAGGCAGGGGCGCTGGGAGAGAGGGAGAGGGAAAGGGTAAGCCTAAGGCTATTACTTCTTGATCTCAATGATTATATTGTCTCTCTATTTATAGTCCTAAGTAGACTTGTATCCTAAGTAATCTAATAAGGGAAGTCCTTATAGATTTGGACTCCTCCTAATCTATCTAATCTCAACCGATCCTATTCCTATTCTCTTTTATTTATTCAAGATCCTCCAGATATGGATAGTGGAGCAATGGGAGACCGCCCTTCCTGTGCGCGCCCTCCCCCTAGGTGGCGCCGCTACCTCCCTTGGCGGCTGGGCCAAATGGGCCGCTGGCCCCCATTAGACATATGACATCACTCCCCCCCTTCTCCTATCAGCGTGTCCTCGCACTGAATCATTACCCAATCTTTGATGCCCTCGGGTGGTAGTCTAGTGCCCTAGGGTATCTTTGCAATTTGGACAGTGAGGTTCCCCAGAGTGTCGTTGAGTTGGTTGGTGCTGATGTGGTAATCGGAGAAGTGGAAGTAGTAGCGACAGGAGCCGAAGTAGCCAGAGATGTAGTAGTTGTTGGTTCCCGAGCCTTCCATTAGTTCATGGGCGTAGCGTGCTGCATAGATGGCAGCACCTGGAAGTGCTCCTAGGAAGTGTAGCAGTTGCATGACCCATGGAGGTCGTGGAAACGAGTGTACCTGGCCTGCATCAACTTGCCCATTATGCGCATGCACAATGTTGTTGCCATGATGGTCGGTGGCGTCGTGGTGAAGTGTTGTAGCGTGCCGAAAAGGAGGTCGCCCGTGTCATTGTTGGCCAGGGAGACTAGTGGGTGTCCTTCGACATGTTGCCTGCTAATGTAGATATCCTCAATGGAGAGGAACTGTTTGCCATTGTTGTCGAAGAAGATGATCGTTGCTAATGGTAGTATGCCTTGTGGCCACTCTTCGAGTAGCAGGATGCTCGAGGGGAAGGCTTGTGTTGTCAGTGTAGATGTCGTTGTGTGGAGGCCGATGGCTAAGAGATGCGGAGATGCAGTTCCTAGCGACTCGAGCAGGTCCTGCAGCAGGGGTGAAGTCATCGGGATGTAGTAGCGGTCATTGTAGTAGATGATGCCATGTTCGAGCGACCAAGCTGGTGCTGCTGCCTGGACCTCAATGGTGGCGGAGATGATATGGAGTTCACGCTCGTCCGTGGCGGCAAGGCAGAGCTGTACGAGGATGTTGTGGTCAGGTTCGCTATGGGCGGATGCTTTGGTGTTGAAGCCGGCTAGTGGAGGGAGTGCTGCCACTAGAGTGTTCTACGGTGCCAGGGCTATTGTAGGAGGGGAAGTGGCAACTCCCCGTCCGTCTTGTTGTCGAAGATGTCAACATCTTGTCATGGTGTGGATTCGGCGTCGATGTCGGGGGCAGTGTGCCTTGCGTCGGTGGTGGTAGGTGGGCGATGCTCCAGGGTACATGCGAGGTTGAAGGCTGTCTCCATCTCGTGTGGGTGGTGGTGTGTGACCACCATCCGGAGTTCATCTTGAAAGCCGGTGACAAAGAGGTTGACTTGATGAAGCTCACTGGTAATGCCGACGTGTAGAACCTAGGCGACGAAGTTGTTGATGTAGTCATTCACGGTGCCGATATGCCGGGGTGGTGCGAGGTCGCCGATGGTGTCCCAGTCGATGGGCAGGCCAAAGTCGCGGATGAGGCTCTAGGAGAATAGTGCCCACTTGGTCATAGGTGCATCCTTTGTTGTGCGCATGAACCATCGGTGTGCTGCACCTGTCAAATGAAAAGCCGCGTACCATATTTGTTGAGCTCCGGTCAATGGTACAACTTTGAGAGCTGTTGCATCTACGAAAGCCATGGTCTTGGGTCCATCAAGCCATCATACGTAGGGGTTGTGAGCCGAGCCCTAACAGGTTGGTGTTGTTGTGGTGGTGGTGGCATTCTTGACGGGGTCAGAGACAGTGGTGTTCTGGGCGCATGAACCCTTTGTGCCGGTGGCCAGGTGGTCGGCTGCTACTATGGTGTTGGTGACACCTTGGTCTACTGGGCAGCCACTAGGCTGGCTAGGGGTCGATTAGGCGTGTAGACACTCGCAATTGATGCCGAGTTGCTGGTGGAGTCATTGCCGGTAGTGTTCCTGTCGTAGACTCTTGCTGATTATCGCCCAACGCTTGCTGGGCAACCGGGAGTTGGTGCTGAGTTGCCGGTGGTGTCGCGATTGTTGGTGTTCTCGGTGCAGGTTCCCGCTGGTGGTCGTCCTGGAGGACTGGGGTCGGTGAGGATGTTGTTCTCTGAAGCATTGGAGGGCTAGGGTTCGTCCATCTTGCGCGTGAGGTATGATTTGCCGGTGGCAATCATGACTCTCTGGGTTTCTGCTACAAGGTCGTTGATGGTAGCTTCCCGGTCCAATCCGGCTTGGATGTCGGTGATGGCGGCGTCGCCATGGATGCGCGCCTGCTCGATAGCGTGCAGATGTTTGTCGAGGTTGACGAGTTAGCGATGCATCTCCTCGAAGTTCTTGCGGAGGTCAATGGCAAGGTTCTTGATCAGCTGCTGCATGGTGGAGGTGGCGGAGTCTATGAATCGTCTGGTCTCTAGATACTAGTGTAAGAGCCGGGCTGGAGGGGGCTCTATAGGGAGGCAGCGGCTAGGGTTGGTGGGGGTTGAAGGCGTCGGGCAGGAGGGAGGAGGCGGCGGCAGGGAGAGAGGCCGGGAGCGCTGGGAGAGAGGGAGAGGGAAAGGGTAAGCCTGAGGCTATTACTTTTTGATCTTAATGATTACATTGCCTCTCTATTTATAGTCCTGAGTATACTTGTATCCTAAATAATCTAACGAGGGAAGTCCTTATAAATTTGGACTCCTCCCAATCTATCTAAACTCAACCGATCATATTCCTATTCTCTTTCCTTTATTCAAGATGCTCCGGATATGGATAGTAGAGCAGTGGGAGACCGCCCTTGCCGTGCGCGCCCTCCCCTTAGGTGGCGCTGCTGCTCCCCTTGGCTGCTAGGCCAGATGGGCCACCGGCCCCCATGAGACGTTTGACACAAATCTGGAGGCTTAAAAAATTGATCAAACCCAAAGCTATTGAGTAACATGTTATGAGGTATTGAGGTGGCAAATTGTAAACAAACCATTCTCGCTGCACTAACAAGCACTAATTCCCCTCTTCTGAAGTCTGAATAAACTAGACACTTAGCACACTGAACCTAAATGAATCGATCTGCAGCAACGTGAATAAGGTAATGAAAGCACTAACCTCTTAGCTGGCTCATGTGCGCCAAATTAAAGCAACGTGATCTACAGCAACGCGGATCGATCCTCTGCCCTCGCTTCCTCCGCGGGGTAGCTCTCTACGCTGAAGCCACAGTGCAGTGCAACACCAACGCAACAGCGGTACGCCATCGCCGGCGGCCGGCGTACAGCTGTGCGCTGACGAGAGCACTTGGATGTGAAACGAGCAACGGTCACGGAGGAGCTAGGATAGGGATTTTGACTGCGGGTGGATGTTATTTTGACTGCGGGTGGATGTACGTAGTCTTGGGCTGGGAGGCACCGTATCAGTTTTGGTTTTGCATCCCGGCAGGCCGGAACCTGTCCTTCCTCCGCACCAACATCGTCCGTCTGTCCCTCCCTCCGCCCCGATAAAGCTCCAAGAACTTGAATCGAATCTGCCCCACCAAATGGATGGACCTAGAACTAGAAGTGCTCAGATCTCGCGCCCGCATAGTCATGGGGATGCTAACATGGGCGCTGGCTTTGGCGCGTGTCTGTGAGCTCGATCGAGTAAGAGCACGACGTACGCCTCATCAAGGAGCTGGCGTCGGCAATGCCCTTGGTCCCTGGTTCCAGCGCTCTGTATGAGCATCTTTACGTGCAAACTGAAGAGAACCGATCGACACACTAGCAATGCTTTTCTCTATTGTGTGAGGATCTCCGACCAAGAATGAATGCTCTTCACGTTTTGAGGCAAATAGGTGGGTGAGTGTGGGGCGTACCTGGTAAGCAGAGGTAGAGGTCCCAAACAGGAAGTCCGGAGGGAACTGGGTGCGATCGATAGCTGATGATGAAGCGCACGGTAAGAGCTCGTGAGCAAGAAAGAAGGCGAGCACAATTATCACGCCCGCCATTGCTCGCTCCTGGCTTAGCTGGTTGCTTTGCTACGCTACCAACAGGCAACAGTCTGTGCCCTCTTTATTTGTACTAATCTCACGGGAACGCAGCGATTAGAGGCTTTGAAAGCTTGATATTTTTTTAGTTAGCATTCAGTTTTGAGATCTATGGTTCAAATCG